CACTGAGACCAAGAACAATCTGGAAGGGATGGTAAAATGGAAGAGCTCACAGAGGTTGGCACGCTCAAGGGGACGAGGGGACACTCAAATGGAACTGGGGCAGCCATACCAGGCTCCCCGTTAAACAGGAGATGTTTGAAGTCAAATATGCTTTGTGTAGTATCCCTCACACGTGCGTGCACACACACACTCACAGGCACCCCTCTGCCACTCTATCCCTCTATCATCCATTGTCTCCTTATCCATAAAATATTTATTGAACTCCTATGGGGTGGCCAGACACTAGCTATTATTATTTTCATTGTACAGAAAACAAAGACCAGAAGAGAAATGACTTGCCCTAGATTTCACAGGTAATGAGTGGCAGAGTCAGAGTCCCTATCCAGGCAGTCTGCCTCCAGAAACTCTTTGTAAACTCTTTGCTATAATGTCTTTTGTGAAGGAGGACGATATTATCTCATTATGGCGGCAATTACATAATATTTATCGAGTGCTTATTCTGTGCCAGGCACTTCACATGCAAGATTTTATTTCATTCTCAAAGCAACCCAATGAAACATCTACTATTCTTACCCCTCTTTTATAGTTAGAAAATTGAGATACAGAAACGTTAAGCAATTTGCCTAAACTTGCATAAGTAGCAAATGTGGGAGCCAGGATTAAACCTAGGTCTTTACGAATCTCAAATTTATGCTCTTAACCACTGGGTCATATTGGCTCTTGAAGATTAAATAGGGACCCTGTGGCAGTTTTAAAAATACATCCACAAATTCTTTGTTAATCTCCCTTCAAGAGGTGGAGATTAACTTCCCTCCCCTTCAGTGCGGGCTGGACTTAGAGACTTGCTTCTAACAAATGGAATACTACAGAAGTGATGGCATGTCATTTTTGAAATTAGGCTATAAAAAGACTGTGGCTTCTGTCTAGGATGTGCTCTCTCTTTTGCTTGAATGGCTTGTTCTTTGAGCAGCCCACTGGCATGTCATGGAGACACTCAGGTAGCCTATGCAGAGGCCCACACGGTGAGGAACTAAAGGATGCTGACAACAACCAAGAGGAACTGAGGTCTGCCAAGGCCACATGAGTGGGCTAAGAAGGGGATCTTCCAGTCCCGATGACTGTGGCCCTGGTCGACAGCTTACTGACATTTCATGAGAGACCCTGAGCCAGAACCACCCAGCTAAGTTGCTACTATATTCCTGACCCACAGAAACTGAGAGATAATAAATGTC